GCGGAGGCAGGCGGGCCGCTGTCTTGACTGGGCGAAAATGAGGCGCAAGGCCCACGAAGGTATAAACAAGATTTTTCAAATTAATTTGAATTCCTTTTTCATTCAAACGAATTTTTGGACTAAATCAAAGCAGTTTCAAACTTTGGGCCAAAAATAAAAGTTGCTCAAAATTTTATCCTCTACAACTTTGATTTTAAGACCAACGTCCAATTCATTATAGATTTTGAATAAAAAAATTAAAGTCAGTTTTGACTCGAACCCTAATTTTTGGAGAATTATTTTTAAAGCAAAATTTGGCAATAATTCAAATACAAACCTTGCTCCAAAAATTGTGATAAACAATTCTAGATGATTTACAATCATAACCAAACAAGTTCTACTAACCTAGCAAACAAAATCAGGGCAAAACAATTCTAACAAAGGTATGCAACATTCAGGTTTCACAACATGTTTCAGATGTTTCGAAGCAGTATTTCACTTGTTATTCACATGATTAAGCATGTATGATTTGGATGCTTGATGATGCATGATATGCGTGATTTGCAGTGCCTAAATGTAGGCATAACACCGGGGTGTTACAGGCAACTTCATGGCTGTCATGGAAGCATGCGACACGTCCATCCCAGCCATCTAGTAGGCATGCCTACAATAGTTGCTTGGGAATAGACGTATCTCACGGTTTGATGATAGACATGAGAAAACATAAGAAGACAATAAAGCAGCAACATAAAGAATACCCACAACCACCTTAGATTGCTATAGTTTGCATCATCGGCCAAATAGGAACTCGAACAATAAGAATAAGAATAACAATAACATCATCTGAAATGTCTCAGATCAACTAAGTGACAATCCAAGATATTTTAGGGCTCAGATCAACTAAGTGACAATCCAAGGTATTTTAGAGCTCAGATCAACTAAGTGACAATCCATCACCCGTTGTTAATGTCTACACCACACAGATCAACACAACCTCACATCCATCGCCATGGCTCCTATGCTATACAAAACTAGGTGCAGCCTTGGTCAGGCGGCAAATGGTTCTTTGTAGCATCAGATGAGGTCAGTGCTACACATCAAAATACTTTCTACAGCATAAGACAGTTAGCATGGCTATATGTAAAAGTGGAGAGGCCAACTCATATGCATCTAAGCAAAGTAGGTTGTGCTCAGGTAGGTCCTAAGCCACAGGATCCTATGAGCCTCTGTCATCTGAACAAAGCAAAGTTCCTCAGCCTTGTTCTTCAGTAGGTAAACCAGGGCAAACATGAGTGCCTCCTGTGAGTACCCAGGGCAGGCCATAACACAGCTATAAAGGTCCTGATGCACCTTATTGTGTTGTGGAGTCTTGAGGGCATCTCCTACAGACTCCATAGCCTTGATCATTCCATTCATGAGGTCTATTTTCTCTTGGACAAGCTTCCTTCTCTTGCCACCCCTTTGCTCCTGGCCCTTGGCATCAGAACCCTTAGAGACTTCCATACCAGAAAGAGTTCCCTTTCTAGAATCAATATCTGTGCCACCTAAGTAATGATGTCCTCAACGGCATCAATATCACCTTGGCCAATGTCAGTTGGAGTACCCAGAGGCTCATTTGAGCCCATTGCATATCTGCTTGTGGCCTAGTTACCAACAAAGATGGCCTCCATCTGAACATAGTTCTGTATTAGTGTGTTCAAAAACTTAGCATCAGCAGGATGGTCCTAGTTAGTGAAACAGATATAACTATTAGACATAGGGGAGCAAAAAGAAAGGGATAGCTGAGGTGTTATCCAAATAGTTTCTAACCTTGGTGTGGCCAAACAGGCGTTCATCATCAAGTACTATCATATGGTGGTCCTCATCCCACAGAGCACCACTCAAATCCTTGAGCCTAACAATCTTAATCCACATTTGCCTTCACTTTCTCAGGTGATTGTAAATCTATTGGGTGCTTACATTGACCCCAACAAACTCATAGACCATGAGTGCAACCTGCCTAACATGTACCTCCTTGAACTCTTTGTCAGTTTTGACCTTCTGCCCCACCAAATCATGGAACCTCCTTAGCATGAACCCAGACTGGACAGGAGTCCAGTGCATAGGGCCATTGGGCTGAGGGTTGCTGGATTGCCATCATCAGCAACAACTACTCCACCCTGTTCCACCACATTGTCCTCACCACCAATGTTAATAACCTGGTCAAGCATATTGTCCATTTCCTATCCACAACCAGCATAACATTGAACAAACTAGTACGTAAGGAAAACAAATTGCATGATATAAAACACAAGTTCAACAGATCAAATAGGCAAAAAAGGAATAGGTACTACATCATTGCAAAGTGCCATAGGTCTCAGTTAAAATACAAGTTCCATCAATGCTACTAAACAGTACACACACTATGCAACTACACCCTAGAATTTCCCCTGTTTTGCCACATCTGTTCAGCCCATACCTTCCTCTGTTGTGTCTAGGTACTATTGTCAGGGACATGATCTGGCTGTGAGGCATTGTCATTGATGTTACGAGTCCATGTGGATTCAACAGGTACATGCTCGTCCTGTCCATGCCTGAGGATCCAATTGTGAAGAATACAACAGGCAAGAACAAGCTTAACTTGGGTCTTGTATGGGTGGAAAGGCTTATTGTCCAATATCCTGAATCTATTCTTTAGAGCACCCAAAGCCCTCTCAACTGTTACTCTAAGAGACGAATGCCTTAAATTAAAAAGCTCTCTTTGATTTTGAGGTCGGTTTGAACCAAACTCCCTTAAATGGTACCTTATGGCACGAAATGGTGGCAAGAAACCAAGCCTCACTGCATATCCATCATCGATAAGATAAAATTTACCTAGAAATTAGCAGATAGGGATATATTTTAGTAGTTTCATTTAGGATTAAGCAAAGTGTCAATGATTTTTTATGGTTTGGATGATACCTAGTGGCACTCTAAGGCCATCACCTCTTTCAAGAGCATCAGACAGGATAAGAGCATCATATGCAGATTCCTTCCAACCAGCAAGCACATAGGTGAATCTGAGTTTAAAGTCCACGACTGCCAACACATTTTGTGTGATGGTGTGCTTCCTGCCTCTAAAGGTAGCTTGCATCTTCACAGGTACTCTAGCTAAGACATGAGTACCATCATTTGCTCCTATGCAGTCGTAAATCAACAAAACATAAGTGCAAGTGAACATTGACACTAAACTGATAATGAATGGGATCTATGTATAACAAGTTATGGATACCAACCTTGAAATAGGGGTACCACCTTCTGCTCCCAAGGATCCTAGGATGAACATTGGTAGCAGGAGGGACAATCAATTCATTTCTTAGCTCTCCTACCGCATATAACACCTTCTGAAAGAACCTATTAATTGTCTCTGCGGACCTCCTGAAGGTGAGGTCAACCACCCTAAACCTCTCATTGTGACCAACAACATGCAAGAACATGGCTACTTGTTCTTCAACAGATGCATGTATGCTATTAGTGACAAGCTCTCTACTACGGAAAATATCACAAAGTTGGAAAAAGGGGCCCTCTTCATTCTAAGAAGGTTGACACAGTGCACATCATCAGATTCATAGATGTATCTAAGGTTGTTCATCCTCTGTTTGTCCCTCTTAGCCATGGGACCATAGGTGACTGAGCGTGAATCTTGAACTCTCCTCTTAAACCACACGAAAAACCAAGTAGCCACTGCAACAACCACAGCAGCGGCAACCCTGCGCCTAGCTTCAAAGGCCATGTCTATCAACAGGATGGAGGGCACATTAGAAATGGCGCATGCAACATGGGTGTGTACTGCTTAGCAAGCAAAAAATCAGATAAAATGAACTATGAAAAACGCGGCTGCCACACCAAAGGGTGCTCCTCCAGCGTATACTATTACACGATCAACATCAGTGACCTCTAGGCACTTTACTCAATGTGTACAACAAAATAGGCATCAGCATATACAAGATCTACACAAAACATGAGTTATACATCAAATACGAAGCATCATGTACAGATCTGAGCTAAGAACAGGTAAATCAGGTATAGCATCGCACAGATCTGAGGATGTCAAACCAAGAACCCTAATTTCTTAGCATTGCAAGCAAAATCCACAGATAAATCAACAAAATCAACACTGAATAAGGAGGAGGGAAAGAGCGCAGGTGATATATACCGTCGAAACGCCGGAGGACCGAGAGAAATCCGCCGACGGTGGTCGCCTCGGTAGGGCTACCGAGGTCGGGGGAGAGCTAGAGGGGAGTTCGCACCAGAGCTATAATGGAAGGAGAGGCGAAGAGTGAGGACGGTAACCCTAGCCGCGACCCCCGCGCGTACTTTATCGCTAGGACTGCCTCATCTCCCGCGCTCTCCGAAAAGGTTCCTGCCAAGCATCAAGCGAGCCTGCACCAAGAGGGAAGTGGGGATCGAGAAGACGGCGCCATCCAAGATGGAGGAGGACATCTGCACAAGAGAAAGCAAGAGATAAGTACAAGTAGGGACAACCAAACACAAACGAAATACACCCAAGGGTGCGGGATGGCCCATAAGAGGGCCCAGTTCGGGCACCACTCACGCCCATAAAGAATGCGTTGGTGGCTGGCTGCCAAAGCGAGCGCGGCGCGGGTGGAATCGCCCGTCGGAATCGACCGAGAACGCTGTCGTGGCCGTGCAGTGGAGTGGAGGATGACGCGCGCTCGACGGCGACCGCCCCGCCGAAGGTGACGACGACGATGGACCCGAAGGAAGGCGTCCTGTCGCTGGCCTCGTAGCCCAAATCCTTTGCAGGCCCAAGTGAGCCGGAACTGCTCTCAGGCTTCGAGCAGCATGTAGGCCCATGACTCAACTGGGGCGCCGTGGTGGTAGACGCCCACCTCCCATATCGGCCCACCTAACAAACTGGGGCGCACGCTTCGGCAGTTGAGAACAACGAACTGGGTGGGTGGGTTGGGGTCCTCGCCGGCCGGTGGAGTTGCTCCTGGACTGGACTGGATCTGCCGCCCGGTGGTAGCTCGCCGCCAAGGATGGCGCGGGCGGAGAAGAGGCGCACCGCGAGCACGGCGGCGACGGCGGCGGAGACGGAGACGGAGATGCCAGTCAGGTCGAGGGACCACCGGAAGGCGCTCTACTTCGCGGCCTTCCTGGTGCTCGCCGACGCCGCGCTCGTCGCCCTCATCGTCGCCTTCGTCCCGTGTCTGTAGCTCCGAGCGCGAAGCCTCATTGCTCAGCTCTCCTCCTTGTCTCTGCGTTACCGCAGCTCAGCGGGTCTGTTGCTTCTACTTGCAGATACCAAGATCGACTGGGACGCCTACATGTCTCAGGTACTAGCGCACAGCGCAGATTGCCGATTTTTGTTTTGTTTCCCCGCTGTTTTGGTCCAAGAGCTTCCAATTTGGGGATGGTGGTGTGATCTTGGCGGCTGCTGGTGTGTGTGTTTGCTGCTGCGCTAGGTGGACGCTTTTCTCGAGGGGGAGAGGGACTACACCAAGATCGAGGGAGACACAGGGCCATTGGTCTACCCGGCCGGCTTCCTCTATGTCTACTCCGCCATTAAGTTCCTTACCGGCGGCCATGTCTTTCCTGCTCAGGTCACCGCACAGCCAAATCTGTTTACCAGCACGAGCTCGTTTGTTCTGTTGCGTCCTCACACCTCATTATGGTCAGATTCCTGGCTGTGCTTAAGACTGATGAGTTCTTGGGTACTTGCCTGCAGATTTTGTTCGGCGTCTTGTACATTGTCAATTTGAGCCTCGTGCTTCTGCTTTACGTCAAGACTGAAGTGGTATAATTGTGCAATTGATCACTCTTTTCTAACCTCTGGTTCTGCTTTAGTTCATCGATTCACATCTACAACTGTCTTTTCCTTAGTCCTTTGTTTAGTTCAGCAAGGATAATTTTGACAAACTGATTGATATTCTGTCATGACGACTCATCTAGAAACAATCAGTGTTTAGTTCGTCTAAGGTAATATCTGTAGCGTTGGCTATTCTTGTCTAAAACAATATTTTCTTCATTTCTTCAAGACCGCAAGGATAATTCAGTAACTGGTAGTCTGGTAGGCTGTTATGACGACCCAAAGTTTCTTCAATTAAGCTTGTAAAACATCTGTGTGGCCAAGTTTCCATGACATTGTCTGTTGTTTCTGATTCCTCACTATCTCTCAATAACGATGACAGCTTCCATGGTGGGCTTTAGGTTTGCTTTGTTTGTCCAAGAGGGTTCACTCCATATTTGTTCTCCGCCTTTTCAATGACTGCTTCGCCATGACATTGCTCCACGCTGCTATGGTTTTGATCATTTATCACAAGTGGTACCTTGGTCTAGTAGTTTTCAGGTGAGCATGACAGTATGGCAGTAAATTGCATTTATCTTCTGCTTTGTTTTAATATGACAAAACTGAAAGAGTTAGGTAGAAAGTAGCTGCTCATATTCATTTACCATTTTTTTCAGTGGAGCTGTCTCAGTTAAGATGAATGTCCTTCTTTTTGCTCCTTCTTTGCTTCTACTGATGGTCAAGGTACACATTACAACAGCACCATGCTTATATCTTTTTATCCTTCCAACTGTTACCCTTACTAAGTTGTTTCTACAGGCCATGAGCATCAAAGGAGTCTTCTTTGCCTTGTTGGGAGCTGCTGTCGTACAGGTACATTGTTCCTTTTTTCTTAATTAAAAACACTCATCCTATTCCACTATTTTCAATTTGTTAAAATGGTCTTCTTGCACCACATATTATATCGGTTTGACTATGCTTGGCAGTTTCTTCTAGCTTTGTTAGTACAAGTTACTTAAATATATAAGGTCAAACTGAATGCTGCAAGGTCTTTTGTAATTCCTTTATCCTTAAACTCCATAGTGATATCTTCCAAGTTCCAATAGCATGCCACAGAGCTATTAAATTCGCAACTTGTTGTATCTTCTGTTATTTTTTCTCTTTAACATGCAGCAAAACTCTGCATCGTTGTATTAGAGAAAACTGTACTGTTTATTATGATATAAATTTTCTGTTAAATGCACATATCATGGCCTGAGGTAAACTTGAGCTTGTCTAGTTTGTCTGGGGTTAGATGGATACAAGGTATCACACAGTTTATACTAATGATTTATATTTCCCATCTGTAGGTTTTGTTGGGTATGCCATTCTTGCTGTCACATCCAGTTGATTACATCTCAAGAGCATTCAATCTCGGCCGTGTGTTTATCCATTTCTGGTGTGTATTTCATGAATTTTGAACCATTTCAGCAGCAACATTATGACATATGTATCACACCCTAGATGTGACTATGTAATTATGCACAGTGTTAATTGTTTTATGTTTTTCAGGTCTGTGAACTTTAAATTCGTCCCAGAGAAGGTGTTTGTATCGAAAGAGCTTGCTATTGCATTGTTGATTCTTCACCTCACCACCCTTATGATATTTGCACACTACAAGTGGTTAAAGTGAGTACTCACCACTCATGTTAGGTGTAATGAGTTAGCAATGATCTACACTCCTCTCAATGGTCCAATCTTCACTCAATGGTTTTCTTTCTCTAGTATATCCTATTCCTATTCTTTCTAAGAATATTTTCATCATTACATATTTCTAAATTAAATCTGTATCAGTACCTCTGAGGAGATACTAGGGTATTTTATAGTGATTATGCTAGTGCATAATATTTCTACATTCACTGACAGGCACGAAGGAGGCCTATTCGGTTTCTTGCATTCCAGATTTAAAGATGCCAAATCAATCAAACAGCTTGTTTCCAGCCAGCCCAGACCATCCAGTCTCAGCATAGAACGTGCGTTAAACCACAATTCTCAAACTAATCATATCATTCCTATCTTTGCTTTCCTGCTGAACTAACTAGATATGTACAACTTGAATCCAGATATTGTAACTGTTATGTTTATTGGCAACTTCATTGGCATTGTGTGTGCCCGATCATTACACTACCAATTCTATTCCTGGTAAGCGCAGGCTCCCCTCAGCATCATTAGTGTTATGATTAGTCCTCAATAGATTTGGCTTGTTGTTTGTGAATGCTATAATCCAAGTTTGCTCGTTCTTCTGTGCAGGTACTTCTATTCCTTGCCTTTTCTATTGTGGAAAACACGTTTTCAGACACCTTTGAGGTAACGCACTGTGCCTTAATGTATTTATGCTACACGCTCGAAACTTGTGAACCAACCAAACATGTATGTTGATAGAAGTGTCTACTTCCTTTTTATTAACATTAAGTGCATTCTTCTTCTTCTTTTTCTGAAACTAAGATGCTGTCTCTAAACAATACATTGGTTCCAGTATTCATTTATTTGGTTTGCAATCTTATTTCACTTCCCCTCATTTTCAGGATCATTCTATTTCTCGCCGTGGAGTTCTGCTGGAATATTTACCCTTCTACTGCCTATTCATCACTCCTTTTGCTATTTTTGCACTTGTGCATTTTGTTTGGTATATGGTTTTCACCTGCTGAATACCCCTATATTCATCAATAAAGAGACATAACGGACACGTCAATAAGTTGCAAAGCTAGACTTCCCCGCAAAAATAGTATAATCTTTGAAGGTAGCAGTGAGGATACAAGCAATGCCAAAGGCTTCCGGAAATTGTGAGGTATTTTGGTATGCCAATACTCTTAGGATTAGTTGACCCAAATTTCTAGAATAGCATCTAGACATACCAAATATGTATGTCCATGTGTAACTTCTTAACATAGATAATAGCTACTCTAAGAGTAACTATGGCTGCGGACTTCCCCAGGATCTTGTTCTATCATCTTGCTGGTCTCCTTTAGCCACCAATGTTATTATCAAGGAAAATGATCCTGAAAACGACTCTGGAAATGTAAAGCAATAAATGTTATTATCAAGGAAACGGTTGTAGCCGTGCATATAGCTCGAATGGTTTGGCACGCAAGGACTCAGAGGTTATACTGGTGTGAGTGGTGTCCGATTGTATTTCTGAGCTCAAGGGCCCGAAGTTTGCAATAAGTTTTACAAACTGACGGTATGAGTGTTTGGGGTAACGAGAGGAGTCTAGAGAGCCTAGAACTGTCAGAGAGCGAAAAGAGATCCATGCCTCACCTTATAAAGCTTTGGGGGTAGGATTATAAAAAGATGGAAGGGGTGCTCTACGCCAACTAGTCACGCTGAACTCATAGACCGGTAAATTGAAATACCCTATAAATATACTTTTGTCTTGTCTTGTGTATTCCATTTTATCTCCATGTTGGTGATGCTACATGAGCATCCAACACCATCAATGTAGCCAACCACGCTATCTTTGATCATTGTCCATAGCATAAAGTTCCTTCATCATCCTCCCTCAAGCCACTTGATTATCAACACATATCAACAGTTGGCTTAATATCTCTTGAATGATATGATCCACTTTATGTCATCACGTAGCCTTATGGTTTATCGGTCGTAATTTCGCTTGCTCTTCACCGTTGCACTTGGTCCATCAACGCCCAGGCCTTGCTCAAGCTTCACGGCCACACGGTCTATCGCTCCAAAGCCTCTGACTTGCCCTTCACACTTGCAACCTGGTCCATAGCCAAGCTATGTCTCTTTATCTTCACCTAGCCACATGACATCATGCCATATCTCATATGCAATGAGCTCCTTCATCAAACAAGTTGAGCACCATCAACATGCACAAGCCATCTCTCCACCATGGCTCTATGTGTTGCTCATACTTGTGTACATGTGGACTAAGCCACCTGTGAATCTCACATCAAACACATGTTAGTACATCTATATTTTACTCAATTATCAAAACCAAACAAAGGCCTTTCACCTGGCACTCACCTCCGCAGAAAGAGTGAGGGCGGAGGCGAGCATCGACAATTCCCCCTGCGGGAAGGCTTTGACCGAGCCACAGCCTCAGTAACGCGGCATCCCCTGCAAATCGCGGAGTCAAACCCTCTGCGTCGACAAGGTGTCCCTGAGACGGAATGAAAGCTATGTAGCTCGGAATTCCTTAAATCTTTCATTTATGTTCTCTACCGTTTTGATTTTTGATTCAATAATAAGTTGCTACCTCATTGTTGCATGCCTTTTTTTCCCGAAAGTGCTCTATCTAAGCCCTCCACCGTGCCTGGCTAACCCAAGCATGGCGGAGCGCTCGGGGGCTCCCCAAGCGTGTGTCCATGGGTTAACTTTGCCTGACGCGAACCGACCTAAAAACACCCAGCGCGCACGCTCGTTCAGCTGCCTCCGGCTGGGATTTCCTCTCGTCCCCTCATGCGATCTCGGCTTCCGACCGAGTGAACGCCTACATCTAAGTGCTAAAGTGGATCGACCCTTGGCCGACGAGGTTATGACTAAGGCTTACGAAGGTTCAAAGATCCCAAATGTCGAAGGAAACCCTATTCGAAAGCAGCCGGAAACGGAAAAAAGGCAACGAAAAAAGCAACTAAAACACCTAAACGATGCCTAGAGGGAGGGTGAATAGGCTATTTGTAAAAAAAACTACACCTGCAAAACACACAAAATGAAAAGTCATTGGACACAGCAGAATCGGCCTGTCCAGTTTTGCTGTTGGCTGTGGTAGAACCGGCCCCGGTTTCGCTGCTGGCTGTGGTAGAACCAGCCTGGCCAGTGCAAGTTCCTCTAACCGGCCTGACCGATTTCCTCGAGAATCCTACAACAAATATGTTAGGTGCTTGTTTTTGCTTCCTTTTCCCCCCCTCTACAAATCCAAGTGCTGTGGGATGTGTTTGGGACAAGTTTGCCTTGCACAATAGTCTCTACAACCACAAACACAACAACCAAGTAGACACAAATGGTGGTTCACAAGATATGAAACAAATGAAATGTAAAATGAGAGTAAGCCAAACCAAACAGAGAAGACACAATGATTTGTTTGACTGAAGTTCGGGCCTCTCCAAGTGTCGGTGCAGAAAGTGACCAACACGTAAATATTTGTAGTTTTGCCGTACGTTGTGATCGGATGTGGCCTAGCACTCGATGACACAGGGTTTATACTGGTTCAGGCAACGTGCCCTACGTCCAGTTTGAGTCGGTCAGTGACTTTATTCCTGAGCCTAGGTGCTCAAAGTTTGCTATGGGGTTACAAATGAGAGGGAGTAAGATGGGGGGTGCAAGAGGTCCGGTTAGACTCTGGTCTGAAGGGCCGAGAGAGATGGGAGCTCCTACATGCGCTTAGTATTTGAGCGTGTGCTCTGTTGGAGTCGTTCGTTGGGTGTCTGAATCGATTGAATCTCGGTGGTCGAAACGTTTGAGAATCCGAATCGCCCGAGAGTCGTCCTTATTGGGAGAGAGTGCATCTCCTTTTATAGATGAAGGGGATGGCCTTACAAGTGAGAGAGGGAGAGTTTACATATGCTACTAAGTCTTGTTGCCCACGCCGTCGGGTACAATGATGATTGTAGGCGCTCACAACACTGTTTGTGTCAAACGCATGTGGGAGGTTTTACCGTATTCACTATGTATGGCAAATGAGGGCGCCCACAACATTGTTGATGCCCAGAGGCATGTGGGGGGTTTTACCGTGTTCGCCTGGTATGGGAGTTGAGGGCGCGCACAACACTGTAGGGCAAACATCGGCCCCCACAACACTGTTGGGGCTCTGACATGCCTGGAAGGTGGCAGGGCACCCTTCTGACATGCCCTGTCGGTACTGTGCTGCAGGTGTACAGGGTACGGTCCTTAGTATTGCGGTTGACTTGAGCGCCCTGTCTTACTTGCTCTGCTCGTTTCCTGGGTCCTCACCGAGCGGGCATCCCCGGTCGGTTGGTCCTAGTCGGCTCTGACTGAGCCAGTCAGAGAAGAGCTGTAAGCAGAGGTTAGGTGCATCCCCGGTCGAAGACGCGGGTCAGAGTCGGAAGCGGTGCTGGCTAGGCCTTTCGGTCGGAGAGGCGGGTCAGAGTTAGAAGCGGTGCTGGCCAGGCCTTTCGGTCAGAGAGGCGGGTCGAAGTTAGAAGCGGTGTTGGCCAGGCCTACCGGTCGGAGAGGTGGGCCAGAGTCGGAAGCGAGCGTCGTTCCTCCTTGGCCAGGCCTTCCGATCAGAGAGGTAGGTCGGAGTTAGAAGTGAGCGTCGTCCTTTCCTTGGCCAGGCCTTCCAGTCGGAGATTGGATCGCCCTTCTGGGCTGGCCCAGGAGTTGCGCGTTGTTCGCAATGTCGTCTGCTGGGCCGAGCTTTTGTTGGGAAGCAGGTCCATGAGGGACCCCAGGTTTATGAATCCGATAGGAGCCCTCGAGCCCTCGGGTGATTCAGGTAGAATTATCTAGGGGATTTTCTTGGTTTTGACGGTGGGTGCGCGCGAGCGCACTCGTGGGTGTAGCCCCCGAGCCCCCGAGCGATTCGGGCAGAATCGCCTAGGGGTTTTTGTTAGCGGGCATTGTGTGTGTGTGCCTTGGTGGGCGTAGCCTCCTCTTTCTAGTTTCTGACCCATCGTTTCTAGGAGCGTGGTCCCAGGAGTTTGGTCGTGGCCGAGGGACTGGGCGAGACAGAGCTGTCAACCAGGGTGCCGGACACGCCGAGGGTTCGAGCAAGTCGGAGTCGCGGATCCAGGGATTGGGCGAGTCAGAGTCGCCAAACAAGGCGTCAGGCGCGCTAGGAGATCGGACGAGACGGACTCATGGATCTTGGCGTCGGGCGCAGTTGAGGGATCGGGCGTCCCGAGCCCCTGAGCCCCGTTGGGCTCGGTAGGGGTCGGTTAAGTTTTGTGCGTTACCCCGTTCGCGGTTTCCGCAATCGGAGGGGCTAAGATAATGTCGTTTGCCTCGATGGCTCGAGTGACACGCTCGGTGAGCTCGCTAACGGGTACGTTCGAGTGGAATTTGGGTACGTCATTCATGACGGGATCGGCATAGCCCTCATGTGGCATTCTACTGCTCCTTAACCCGCATCCCGACAGATGCCCAGGTCATTTCGGAGACCGACCCAGGTGGCCCGCTGGCCTTCCCTCGATGGAGATTCTATGGGCATGGCTCGAGGTTAGGATCGAAGGAGAAGGTTGAGATGACCCTGTCTGCTTGAGAGCAGACTGGGCGAGGGTCGCTGGGGCTCATATGCGTTTTCTCTGGCTTTGCTTGACGTGAGGCAGCCTTGAGCCATTCGTGGGCCAGCCTTCGAACCCCGATCGGTCGTTGCTCATGTTGAATGAGGCAACTGCCGCTTCGTGACGCAACATAGATCATTTGTGATGCATGAATTGCATATGCTATGCTTCGGATGTATGGGATGAATGAATGACTGTATGAATGAATGTGTGAATGTGTGTATGCGAATGGATGAATGAATGATCATGCATAAGAAGAAATAAAATAAGAGGGATCGGTAGAGTTACCTTGTTGTCCTGAGTGATAGGTTTGAGGAGTTTTTATTAGATATGTCCGAACGGGATCCGAGCTCGTCGTTCATGACGGAGTCAACGTGGCCCGCATGGGGCATCCCTCTGCTCCTTACCTGTCTCTCAGCGTTCGCTTGAACTGTCCAATCGACTCA